TTTGTTTTAATCTCATAAAAGCTTAACAAGTATTGCAGTATGGGAAATAAATACATTTTTTCTGAGTAATAAATGATTTTTTCATACAATTTTTTGTACTCATAAAAAATGTAAGAAGCTTTTTTTTAATTATAAAAATTTTGCAGCTGTAGATATAAAAATTTAATTTTTTTATCTTAATTTTTATTTTGAGAGGAATAAATGTTTAATCTCAGTTTATATCAACAACTTTAAGTGACAGTATTTTGGCAGAACGATATTTAAACTCGAGCTCGTTAGAGAAGACATAAGAGAAATAAAACGAATTTGCCTAAATGTTAAAGACTTGTGCTTCCTCTCTCTCTCTCTCTTATTCCATCGCACTCTCTCCATCTCCGTCTCATATAATTGGCAATGAAAACAGCCATCACACCTGAGGTCTATCCCAATTTGCCGCGCTCCATTGAGGTGCCCATGCTCAAGGAGTCAAACGAGCTGCGACAGCAGACAACAGCGCAGCCACAATACAGCCACAGACAGGCGAGCTCCACCTCCAGCACCTCCAGCACCACCAGCAGCTCCAGTAGCACCTCCAACAGCGTCAACTACGTCAGCTCCTTGCCCAAAGCGACGTCGCTACCCACTCGCAGGGGCCGCTACTGAGATATCTGGTTGGTGCGTAATTACAGGCTCTCAGTTTTTGTGACTACTTATATTGTATTATTATGCTTTAAAAGGTGATTTTCAATTTTTACTTTTTTATTTATTTTTATTTTATTTTTGTCATATTTTAATGCACTTTTTTTTTTGTAAAGGAATTAAAAAATAATAAAAATTTATTAAGGCAAAAGCGAAAATTATGAATTTATTATTGACGACGTTGTGATCTGTTTTTTAGTTCTTTTTTTTTCGGGGTTTTTTTTTTATGGCCACTAGGCCAATGGGTCCAGCAGGCAAGGCGGGTCCAAAGCTCTGCCCGTCCGAGCAGCGATTATTCGCGATATTTCGAAAGCCGCCGACAATTTGGCAATAAATTCACCGCAAAGCGGCTCTGGCAATAAAACATACTCGTACAAGTGCAAAAATCTCTGACTGTTCTCTGTGTGTGAGTGGCAATATCGATGGCTTATATGTACATATATACATATATATTCAGAGATATATACGATATACGATATATGTATATGCATATGCAACGCGAATCGCTAGTACAATCAAGCGGCAGCAAATACAGTTTCGGTTTCAGTTTCATATGCAGTTGCTGTTGCTGTTGCTGTTGCAGTTGCAGTTACTGTGGCAGACCCTGGTCGAAGTGTGGGCATGAAGGTCCGTCATAAATTTGCAAGTGCAGACGGCTGCCAATTGGTTAGCCTCGACCCTGCCTGCCACAACGTTGTGGCAAGCAGCGCTCTTGCCTTATCCCAAAAACAGATCTCGGCGCTCCATCGATATCAAGTCGTAAAGTAAAATTATGAGCATTTTAATGCCAAGCGATTCATATTCCGATTGCCTGTTTAATTGCAATCAGAAATATTTGCACTCATACCATAAACGAGCACTTGAGCAATCGTTAAGTCCGACGACTATCAAATCGGATTACAAAACTCCCTAATTGATGTCCGTGTGCGAACATTTACACGAAAACGTGATATCGCCAGCGATATGAATCAAAGTCAACGAATGATGCTACCGCTGTAAATTATTCAGAGAATCCACTTAAATTGCTTTTTCGCTTCTTATCGAAACATTTCTCATCGCAAATGACTAATGGCACATATACTGTAGATGTGACTTGATCATAAACAATTTTAATCATTTAGGAATTATAGCCATGCATTAGGCAATATGAATAGTCAGTCCCATTTGACTCATATTATTGGAAATATCTGTGACATTTTCTGCACGAACTTTGAGAGCAGTGAATGGATTGGGTTATAGAAAGCCTACTATGTTACTAATACGAATGTATTCAAAAACAAAAGATCTATAAAATAAATCATATGTGATTGATAAACTATTTCAATGATGTTGAATATTATATCATATCATTTCTATCATACATAAAGTAGCTGTAGTTCAAAGATCTTCTTTTTCTATTTAATGTGTATATACTAAAGTTTGTGATACGCTCTAAAAACCACTCTTCGTTCACGAAGGCACGATCTATTCTCTATAAGTATATCCGCAATGTCTCAAGAACTACTTCAGAATCTTTACGCTACACATCTTATTCAGATACCGTTTAAATGGGCTACCTATAAAGATATATTTAATATTTCCTCTCTATTACTTCTATTACCATCTATTCAATCGATTTTCTCGATAAAACAAAATAAATGCTCTCTATAAAAACACTATCCACACTTATCTATTAAAAAGAATTAATTTTTTATAAAAAGTTTACTCTATGAGATAAATTATATAAAGAAATACTTTAACATATACTTCCCAACACACCCTATGTAAAGTGAGACGACTCATACTATTTACAAGCTTTTCTTTAATACTCTGAACCAATACCTTCGCTAAACACGTATCGTATAAGCTACCCTCTATAATGAAGGTATACAAGGAAACATACCCAGCAAGCACTTTCCGTAAATTCTGAACATTATTTACCCACGACAAAAAAAAAAAAAGAAATACTTACAATGAGATGCCCTCCTCTGCAGAGAAATGTTGCTTATAGCTTCTATTAAAAGTTACGCTTTATTAAAAAATATCATCTTCAAAAAAATTCTTTAAGGAAAACCCCCTTAAGAAGACACCTCTCATAAAGAAAATTACCACGTAATGGAAAAAAGTCTCTAGAATGAAATTCCCTATACAAATACCATCTTTAATGAACTACCCCCTCCGAATAGCTCCTATGAAGCTAAGCCCCCTGCAAATAGCCACTCGAAAAATTAACTCTTATAAGAGTTTTCCGCAGACTATTGCACTTTATTTGCAATTCATAAATCTTGAAGCTGCCGCGCTCAAACTGTGAGCGAATTCATTCATGGAGTCAACAAATGTCTGGCTACGTATTTATCTTTGGGATAAAATGTAATTCAGAATTAAATGTGGCATGCACTCTCTTCACAAGGCCAATTAAAATTACAGCTGCGAGTGGATGGGACTTTATTTAAATTAAGAATTAAGTGAATAAATTGTGGAAATTTAGTTTGGAGCTCGTATGCTCCATTAAAAGTCGCTTTGTCGAGGCTCGTAAAGGGCCGCGCATGTAAATGCCACAATAAAATTAAGAAATGAAGTGGTCCGTCCATAAAAGTGCAGATATGCTCTCTCTCTCTCTCTCTCTCTCTCTCCGTCTACCCCGTAACTCCACGGCAGGGATTTTCGCGGGTGTTTTTGGTTGGCTGGGTTTGACTGCGTTGCAGCTTGTTTTCGAGTGCGATATCAAGCCAAAAACTTTTTGCACACAAAACGAACAGAAATTGTCGCCGTCTGCAGCGAAAAGACAAAACTGTGAAAATAACCAGAAAAAAATAGAATAGCACAAAAAATAAAAGTGGAAAAGTAATCATAAAACAACGGCATAAAATGTAGCTAATCAAAAAAATTAAATTAAAAAAGTACCAGAAGCACAACCAGAAGAAGACGAAGAAGCAGAAGCAGAAGCTGAAGCAGAAGAAAAAGTAAACTTCGTGAAGCTGCCGCCATAAAAGCAACACTTGATGCAGGAAGCTGGTTGGGCAGCGGAAGGAGACGGAATATTGGTTTGCCGGATAGTCAAAGCCAAGACTTTGCCCAATGCCTGGCTCCAGTTCTAATGAAAAACTAATCAAAGTTGCCACACATGATGAGCACTGAGATACCCTACGAATAGTTGTGGCGGCAGCAGAACTACTTTGGTAGTTCAAGGCTCAGAGTTTAGGAAGAACTGGAATGCCGATAGTCCGTGGATAGCTCTCGGCCTCTACCAGGGTATTTAAAGAAAAGCCATGCTCAAATAGCAACTTGGCAAAGTGCTAAAAGCGTCTTTTGAGCTTAGCGCCAGCCGAGGCACGCTGGACAGCCGGACAGCCGGACAGCCGGATGGCTACATGGAGTAGTTAAAATTATCAATGAAAGTTTACAATCACGGCACGGGGCACAAAAAGAATTGAAACTCCGAGTGCGAACCAAAACTAAGTGGCAAGTGACGACGGAAGAGGAGAGAAGAGAGCGAGAGGGAGAGAGAGTGACTGCTCAAATGATTCAGCGCCAATGAGCTGAACAAAGTTAACAAAGTTGCAAAGATGCAGTTGCTGTAGTAGTTGTAGTTTGTTAACTTTGCCCCCTATTAAAGCCAGCGCCAAACTAAAGCTAAATACACACACACACACACACACACACACACACACACACACACACACACGCACACACACACACATGCATTAAGAGTTTGGCGTAGAATGACATGAGCTAACGAGCAGCTGAACGAACTTGAACTTTGGGCACACAATTAAGAACTTGGACCCGGCCTTTTGTAAATATGCCTGATCTGGTGCCATGGGCCTGGCCACTATTCTCATTAAATGTCCATCAGCTGGCATCGGGCAGGTGTAGAAGGCACACGGTTAAAAATATCTTTAAAAAATAAAAAAAAAAATAAACTACAACAAGAAGAAACAACAAAACAATCTTGAATATTTTAAATTTTGCTTTTCGCTTGTATAATCAAAACGCAATAAATATTGCAAATGCGACAAAGTAGCCAAAAGTTGACCCCCAACTCGAACGTGGCCAAAGCCCATGAAAGTGAAACAGAACCCCGAAACCAAATCCACAAAAAAAAAAATTAAAATGAACGCCAGGAAATGGCTGCAAAATGTTTGCATGCTGCGGTAACACGACAGCTAAAAAAGCAAAACAAAAAAAAAAATGGAAAAATAAAGAAGAAAAAAATGTTGAAACCAGTGCCAAAGGATAAAGAATAAACAAGGCGCGCAAAAATGCGAGGCGCGTGGCACTGGGCGCTGGGTGGGTGGCTGGTCGACTGTTAGGTGTTTGACAGTGGGTGCGAATACACACATACATACAGCTAGACATACACACACACACACACACATACATCTATATATATAGAAAAAAAAATTAAATATAAAATGCA